GCCATCGTTGTTCAGCTGACCAAATCCCGTAAGTCTGGTGTGTCACCGCATTATCCTGCAGCAGTTAATAGTGGGTTCATCCGTGAGGAATTCTCACTTGCCTTTTATTTCCTTTGAAGTTACGGGATGTGTTTCATCGCCAAGGTACTGAAAGACTCCCGGCATGACAAGTTTCCTGATGCTGGCGAGGATGAGCTGCTGAAGGTAAGGAGCTGAGCAGCTCTGTGAATCATTGTCTGCCACGCTGACTGCAGCAGATGCATCTCAGTGTTGTTTGTTGGGTGTACGTGTGCAGAGAAGTTTCAAAGCTGCAGTTTAAGTAGACAGGCTATTTGTTGTTATGGGTATAAAGTACTTTGCCCTGTGCTTTGGATTGCTGGATACATGTTTGTCAAAAGAGACATAATACAGCGTTCAGAAGAAGTCACCCTATTGCTTTTCCTTTTGCTTTTAATATCTTGGGCATTGTGCCCCCTAGGTTTCTTGACTTTGGGATGCTTTTGCTGCTGAATGGTGTACCTTGGTTTTGCTGGTGTTATCTGAGTCAGTTGCTCTTTTTTTAAAGAGACAGTGCCAAGTTGAAAAGGCCCGTGTGCAAAATTCTACTATTCTCACTTCCCTTACAATATTCTAGGGCATTACAGTAGCTGCAACAAAGTATATGGTGTCATTTTTCATGAGGTGTGGGCAGTTTTGTATTGTACATTTCCGTACTTTGGAGAACGAAAAGGATGTTAGTAGTAAATGCTTCCAAATGAGCACAGCATTGTAGCTTTCATTGGAATTGTCCTGGCGTTTGTTATTTTAAAGGTCTTTCTGTCTGTGAGTGCTCTTCTTCTTAATAAAACAGAGTGGCTTTGACATTACTTGCCACAGTCTCTTTAAGCTTTTCTGTCTCTGCTTCATTACGAAGTAATTCCCAATCTGAATGCCGTTTTCTTCTCTCTTCTGGTTCCGTGCTTTCCCGTTCTGAGGCATCGATTCTTTCTGTGCAGGTGAATTCATTTTTTCCATCTGTAAATGAAAGATAGTGGTGGAAAGCTGCAGTTTTTATTAATCCTTGTGGAAACAATGTCACGGCCCATGCCGCACTCTGAACTGCAGCTGTGTGCGGTGACTGCCTGTAGATGCATTAGGGCCTAAAACTACTCCTACAGTGTACTGTTCTTGTCTTCCTACTACATGTTTTACTATTATCAATATGATTTCTCTCACAAATGTGTTTCTTATGACTGGTAGTGAACAGTTTTGTCTGTTGTGACCATGTGCCGTCATCTGGGATAGTAGAGCAAGAGCTGAAACCACTGTCAAAACCATGACCTCTCTGAAAGCAGTTAATTTCTGGGGCAGCTTAGCAATGGCGAAGCTTCTTCTTTCTGTTTTTGCCATTTCTTCACACCTCTGATCTCTTCTGTGCATTCCAATCGCACGTGAAGCAGGAGAAGCCCAGATTCTGTGACTTGGCTCTGCGCAGATTGATGTGAAACTCCAGGAAGTACTGACGCATGTGGCGTGGGAACTTTTGCTGCATGTCAGCGTGCTGGGCCAATGCCTTTTTGTTGTGGGAATTACTGCAGGCAGATGTCCAATACGGGTTAGAAGTAGATGGATGAGCACGTGGATAACGGGCTGTCTTTATCTTTGGGGCCTCGGCGTTCATTGCTGCTCACTTAGCTGGGTGAATTGGACTTGTTTTGAAATGTCAAATACCGCTCATCTTCGGTACTTCTGAGTTTCTTACTTCTGGATTAAATGTTTCTGAGTTCCTCTCAGTTGTTTAACTGGGGATCTGTAGCTAAAAATGTTGCTGGTTAACCAAAGAGGTATTCTGAGAGAGAGAGAAAGAAGTGCTCCGGAAAAGGGGCAGAAAGTAGCTGCTGTTTTCTCAGCTCAGCTCCTTGGTTTGCCACGCTTCACCATTTTTGCTTTGTTGGAGATGGTGGTCAATTCTGCACACCTGTGTTAGGAATTGGCTCCTATCCCTTAATGAGACTGCAGTACCAGGTTTCTCTGTAGCATAGTTGTTCTGCCTTCTGTTAGACTAAGCTTGGTTTAATTCTTAGAGTAACTTCCATGCTTGTTTGAGGGATTCTTTGGTAACTTCTAAAAGTATATAGACAGATGGTATTCAAAGTGAAATTTGAAAACCTTTGTGTGTAGGAATATCTGCAGTTGTGTTGTTCTAGAACTAGTAGTGGTCAGTCTTACCACTTCTATGTTGGCAGTTGTGCATTTGTTTAGTGTATGTACCTGTGTTACAGTGTGAAACTAAGATTCTTTGGGACAGCATGTGCTTATTAATGGCAGCGCGGTAGACCCTGCATCTTTAACGGGGCCCACAGCTCACAGGAAAGTATTTGGTCAGAACTCACTCAGAGTAGTGTCAGTAAAACTCAGTGGAGGTCTGTACCATTGGTTTTCCACGTGTTTTTTTCTCTCCTCAACTTGTCCTAGATTGTTGGCAACTTACTCTATCACCGCTACGTGAATCCAGCCATGGTTGCACCGGATGCATTTGACCTAATGGATCTTTCAGCTGGAGGGCAGCTGACTGCAGATCAACGAAGAAACCTTGGTTTGTTGCAAAGATGCTGCAGCATGCTGCGTCCAGTAAGATGCTCATGGGAGACGGTGCACATCTGAGCATCGTGAAGGAATACTTGTCACAGTCATCCCAGAAATTCAGGTAGAAGACTTGAGCTGATTGTGTTGAGGAGTTTGGCAGAGGACAGTGTTGCAAACAAAAAGGAGTGATGAATTTTAAATGTATTAAATTCCATCTCTGTCAAAAAGGAGGTCTGTTGAAAATGAGAGATTGCCCTTGGGCTTCCACAATCATTGATCATAATGACATATAAAATACGTAGCTGGAATTTACAAACTAGATATAGTATATTAATGAGCTGGTCCAAACAATTGGCTTTGCCATACAAGCCTCCAGAGTAAAGGCTGTTTTTCTATGTGTTTATTATGATATTCTGGCCTTTGAAAACTAGAGTGTGCATGCGTTCTTTCCTATATGCACCCTAGTTCCCTGTATGCAAACTAGATGGCATTTTGGATTAAAGCAGGCTGGAATTTAGTTGTTTGTATAATCAAGTAACTTTTGAATGAAGAGCTTCTTTATATCTTTCATCTTTTGGAAGAAAGAAAACTGGAAATGGCTGGGAGTGAGGGTTATTCTTGCAGCTGAGACAGAAGGATGGGTGCACAAGGTCATTTGGTCCATGGACTTGTCCTGCAGATGCTTACAGTGAGCTAATGCCGACATGGCCAGTACCAATAACTGAATCTTCTAGATGGCTTTTGATGTGATAAGCTATAGCTTGTCCAATTGTAGTATGCTTGGGAACCATGGTTTAAAGAAGAACAGCTGCTGGTATGCTGATTACCTTTTTCTCCTTTTTCTTTTTTTTAATTTTTTTTTAAAGACGCTTTTCTCAGGTTGCTTGTGAGGTTCCTGAATTGCAGGATCAATTCAGTATTGATGAATATTCTGGCTTCCTTCCTTGTCTATCCCTTCTGCAGAGCTTATAGCCATCAATCTCAACGCTCCAGTCATGGGAGCAGTCCCACCATGTTTCAGTAACAGCAGCTAGATCGTAGTTAGCCTGGTGCACAATGGCTTCCAGTTCCTCCTGCTTGTTGCTCATGCTGCGTGCATTGGTATAGGTGCAGTTGAGCCGAGTCATTTGCCTGACTCCCAGCTCTAAAATCGTTCCGCCAGGCTCTTCTCTTGTGAGGCCTGTACTGTCCCCTTCCCCCGTCATAATTAGTTTATTGCGCAGGAAGAAAAGCTTGATGTCTGTGCCAAGGGAGACGTACACCGCACTTGCGCTGCCTGGACGATGTGGAAACTGGAAATTCTGGGGTGTGCTGAAGCATGCCCTCTCAGGTCAGTCTAAGCATACATAGAGTAGACCTGTCGAACAAAACAGGGAATAGACAGTTAAACCCATTCTGTTGGGAAATACTCTCTCCTTCTAAGTACCTTTAGAACATGAGTTTCTTCAATTAATTACTCAACTCATTTGCTTTTCCTGAATGATCCTAAGATCTTTTCTCAGGCGACATCTGCACTCTGCTCAGTGCAAAGAGAAATCCCTGCCCGTAGATGCAATGACACAGCGTGGCTCACAACCTCATTTTTCATTGCTTACTGTTATGGTAGCTGCCATCCATGTCCACCCTGCGTATTCTTAGAGCTCTTCTGGAGTCCATGGGGCAGACTTATGGTTGAACTGAAGGGAATTTTTTCATATTGCTCTAGCTCCAGATGATTATCCCTAGTATCATTATATTAAAAAAAAAAAAAAAGGCGTTTGAAGTAGTGTGATATATCTTCTGTGCCTCAGAATGTGGCACGTGTGGCATGAGAGAAATGTGAGGCCACGAGGACTGCCGAGACAGCATGAGAACTGTAAGAGCAGAGAGCTATAGGTGATGCAGCACTATTGGCGCCACCCGCAGGAAGCGGTAGCTGGAACAAAATATGGCCAGAAGAGTGATCAGATTGCGTTTGGTAAGGAACTATTTCATTGGTTGTAGAACTTTGACAAAATGTATATTCAGGATGATGATCAGCATGCCAGGTGCTGGGACCATGCCAAAAGAGAAATGGTCTGAAAACGTCGGTGCAATTTGAAACATATCCCCTTCCACAAAGCCCTCAGATCCATGCTCCAACTGCATCCAAAGCAACCCAGAGCCCTGTGCTTGTTGTACCCGGAGCTGTCGGTGCCAGGAGTTGCTGCTGTGTTTGCAAGGACGTTGTGTCAGCAGTGTGCCGTCAGTGGGGTTGTTTGATGGCAATGAAACCGCTGAATGGTGTACCTCAAGACTAAGAAAAAGGATGGTAGTGGTGACTGTGTGTCTGGGTATAGATAGCTTGATACAGATCTATAGGACTGCAGTGTGGATTGTACGTAGGCCCTGCGCTGCGAGGTACGCTGTTGGGAAGCAATGTCCATCTGCCCGAGGGCAGGAAGGCCCTGCAGAGGGACGGCCTGAGGCCAGCCGTACGAGGCTGCACAGGAGCAAGCGCTGGGTCCTGCGCTGTGGTCGTGACAACCGCATGGCAGGTTCTGCTGGATTGGGCTGAGGTAGAATTCCAACAGCCCACTGATTCTAGAATGTTGGTGTGCCGTGTTGGAATCTTCTGGTCCTGTGACATGGTCTTGCCTCCCCACCCTGTTGTCATGGCGGAGCAGCCTGGTGGCCCTTAGTGATGTCACAAGCGGCTGGAATGAGGGGAGGAGCAGTGCGTGCTGCGTCCCTTCATTGGAGCGCTTGAGCTCTGCGTGAGTAGCTCGCTTGTTGCCCTTGTGCAGCGACTGAGTGCCTTCGTTTTCACCCCTTGTGTCTTGTGCAGCATCTTGTAGGTAAGCTGAGACAGGGCGTGGGATGGACGGGTGGGCAGTGAGGTGTTGAAAACTGCTGGCTGGCGGAGCTCCTAGCAGCTCACACTGCTTACTCTTGTCCGTCAGACGTAACTTTCACCCAGTACCTGCATTCCCAAGCGATCCACAAAGATGGCATTTGTCCCATGGCTTTTCCCTTGTCATCTTTGCTCCATTGTGCAAGCTCACAGACCTGTTCCTTCTCTCTCCTCTGCCCGCTCCCTTGGTGCAGCTTTCGCTCGTGGAAGCACAGAGCAAAGTGACAAGAATCAGCTGCGAGTTCAAGGAATTGTCTACCTTGTTCTGATCTCCTGCCAGGTACGTGCCACGCTTTGTCCCCCCACGTGGTTGACCAGCACTGTGTCGCACCGTGTTTGGTAACACAGCCTCACCCAGCTTTGATGGGACACTGGTCCCGTGTGGGTTTTTTCCCTTCCCCTGCAGCTCCGCCCTCAGAAGGATGCTGTGTGTGGTGCTGTGACCAGCTGGTCTGAAGGAAACCAATCCCTTAGGCAAAGAGTCCTAGGCCGAGTTTGTGCCGAGCTGCACAGTGTGACCCAAGGTCACAAGCACGCACGCTTGGGCTGTGTGAGTGTGCGCGGCAGCTGTAGGGAGCAGAGCAGAGATGCAAGCAGAGGAAATCCTTGATGTGCGGGGCTGCAGCAGGTGCCGGTGGTGAGGCTGCTGGGAGCCGTGGCCGGGGAGCAGATGCACCTGCAGCGATGATTCCTCTCACTGCCCTGCTGCTGTGCTGTCAGAGCGCCCTGGGCGAATGCATCTGCTGCTTTGTGCCAGTCCCCATCTGCTAGCTGAGGGACAGCCGCTTGGTCAAATGCTGCCTAATGGGCTGTCCCATTTGAACGGAGTGAACAGAGTGGTTGCTTCTAGAGCACCCGCCTGTGCCAGAGGATAGGCAAGGGTAGTTCTCCAGTAGTCTCTCAATACTGTGGTGTGTGAAGAGAGAAAATATGAGCGTGTTTCTCTTCAGTTCCAGCTTGTTGTGCCTGCCGTGATGGGCGTCGCGTGCAGCGAGATCAGCTGTGGGCCTGACATCGCACGGATGGAGGTAGAGTACGGAGCTCTGATTGGTCTTTGTTCCCTGATTTGAGCCAGCAGAGTGAGCTGCAGATGTGCTCTCCTGCTTTTCAAGAGAGAGCGAATCCTTGCGGCTCTATCGGTGTCACTGAAGTGCTGCCTTCAAGGCTTTCTTTCCTTGCTGCGGGCATGTTCTTAGCCTTGCCATTCCTTCTTGTGTGCCCATGATAAGGACGGAGTGCATTTCCTGCAGCTTTCTCTGCTGACATGCTCCTCAGCCTGAAATCCTCCTCGTTTGCCCTCAGCTCCTCACCATGGCCTGTGCTCTCTGTTTCAGGCTGAGAACAACGGGAAGCCCCGGCTGGTCCGTGAGGAGTCATCTCTTAATATCCCAGCTATTGCTGCTGCCCACGTTATTAAGAGATACGTTGCCCAGGCACCGGGTGAACTCTCCTTGGAGGTAAGCAGTTAAGGGCGTTCCTTGTTGTCCTGTACAGAAGAGTATAACATGTGAAGCTATCAGGAATATTCTCAGACACCTTCCGAATGTTTGGTGAGGTGAAGCCCAGCAGATGCGGTTCCAGATTAGACTTGCACTGGGTTGGATGCAGGGAGGAGTTCAGCCATCTCTAAACTATGACTCTGTTTGGCATTGGAATCTTCTGATCCAAGAGCTACTGCCCAGTGTGGTAGCCTGGTCTCTGAGCAACAGCAGACCGGTGTATGGGTGGTGTAGGTCTGTTCAGGAAGCCCTGCTAACTTATGCCTGCGGTTTAATCGGAGCTCTTCTGTCCCCTGCTGCTTTTGAGAACCATTTCCTACAGAACAGCTGTATTCTGTGTGTTGTGTAACGTAGTGATGCTTCTATCTCCATGTTCCGTTGTAGGACTGCACATGCCTGAAGAGCTGCACTGGTGCAATGGCTCTCAAGCTTGACAATATATGGCAGTGCAAAAGAGTGCAGTCATTTGAGCTGTGCTTTCCTCCCAGCCGTGCTGAAGCTGGGATTGACATTGCAGTCTCTTGCAGGTGGGAGACCTCGTGTGCGTCATCGATATGCCGCCTCAGGAGCTGAGCCCCCGCTGGAGAGGCAAGCACGGCTTTCAGGTAGGCCCAAGCTTCAGACGTGAGAGCGCAACTTCGGTCGAGGCAGGAATCTCAGCTTAGAGCTGCCCTGCCTGCACAGCATGGCTCCAGATGGAAAATGGTTTCCCTGTGCTGGTGTCAGAGGACTTTCCCTTTTGCCGTGGGCTTAGGCCAGAGCTGAAAGTTGGTCTTTGTAGGAAACTGCCTCCTCACTTAACTTAGAAAGAAGAGCCCTCACAACATGCATCAGGTCACGGCCACTGAACCGCACCTTTGGAAATGCAGCAGCTAGGACACGTGTTTCAGTGTCTCTGAGCACTTGTGCTTGCACCCATGCAGAAGGTGAAGTCAGTGTCTTTTAGGAAGTCGCTGCCTGTCAGCTGAGATGAGGCAGGGTAACAGAGCCTCTGCATGCTTGCTGCTGCTGCTGGCTGCAGAAGGCTGGGTAGCTCAGAGCTGGGGATGGCAGCTGCATCTCAGTCAGCAAGCAGAAAGTTCATAGGCTGTGCTAACTCAGATCTAGCTGCATCAATCTATCATAATATATAGCTTCTGTATGAAGTCTTTCCCTTCGGGCACGCTTGAGATTTAGGGGTGCATAGCATACTTGTCCTTTCCCCGCTCCATACGCAGTTTTATGGATATTTGCCTGCCAATTTTGAATAATTATTAATTTTAAGCAGGCCATTTTTTGGTTGGATTGTCTTACGGAGCATCCGGCAGGCACGTGATGAGGAAAATGTGATGTTTGAACAGTTCAGGCCTGAGAAACGCTGCCTTCAGAATCGCACCTCTCTTCTTCTTGTTACAGGTTGGATTTTTCCCTGGTGAGTGTGTGGAGCTCATTAACGGAAAAATCCCGGAGTCTCTCATCAATTCAGTGCCAAAGCCAGGTACGATGATACATTTGATGGTGCAGGGAAGCAAAATGGAGTCTTTTTTGGGTGTGTTCCATGTTTAATACCTCCCTTATTCTTCCCACCTTATCCTCTGTGCTGATGATCCTTCCTGCATAGCACGGGGCGTATGGCTGGTGTTTTGTAGGCAGTGAGAATGAGGGAAGGCAAAGGCAGTTCTCCTGCAAGTCAGTACGAGGCTGAGAACAGCCAGCGTCCCTGGTGGACAGATAGAGGTCTGGTTGTGCTAGTGACACGCTTGATCAGAACGTGGCTTTTCAAGAGGGTCCTTAATGCCCAGGTTGAGCAAGCTAAGCAAGAGGAGTGCATTCAACTCCATCAGAACGTGCAGAGATTTGGCCCAGTCCTCCTGTGTTTATGACTGGAGTTGGGGATATCCTAGAATCCTTGTAGAATGGCTTGGGATGGAAGGCAGCTCAAGGATCATCAAGCTACAAGCGCCTTGCCTCAAGCTGGGCTGCCAACCAAGCTCCACATTTAATGTGGGACTGGACCAGGCTGCCCAGGGCCCCATCCAGTCTGGCCTTGGACTCCTCCAGGGTTGGGGAAAATCCATTTTGGTACGCACTTGCTCATCATGTTCTTCCCGTTTTGAGGTGCTCTGTAGAATGTGTTGTGCTCGGCCTCGTCCAACGGAGCCAAACCTGAGATGAACTGGTTTCTTCTTCCTTTTGTTGTGCAGTGCCAAAGAAGCGCCGCAAGCTCCTCACCTTCCTTCGTTCCGTGGTGAAGGCCCGCCCGAAGCAACGGAAAGAGCGGGAGGTGGAGAAGGAGAGGGTGTTTGGCCGTGACCTGGGAGAGCATCTTCTCCACTCTGGTCGTGATGGTAAGGGACAGCCCATTCCTGAGAGCTTCCCTGTTTGGGAACCTAAAGATGAAAGGGAGAGGGTATCTAGCAAGGGGCAGGTTGATACCAGTGGAGAAACGGGGAATGGGAGTTGAGGACTGAAAGATCACCTGAGGAGGTGATGGCTGCAAGGGAAATGCTCCTAAGGGACAAGCGCATTTGCATTTGCTTAAAGCAAAGCCTGTAAGCCAATCCCCTGGTAGCCTGAAAAGAAAGGAAGCCTTTTGCATCAGTTTCCCAGCTCCTTCCGGGCGTGAGATTTTCCACCTCCATTCCTGTGGGGGCTGTGATGGGACTTGCAATGTCTGCGGCTTCCCCGGAATTACTTTCTCCAGGCTGATTCCTAGGTCCTGGCATTTCTGGAATTCAAGGCACACATCTGTGTCCAGTTTCCTCACCAGCCCCTGCAGAGGTGTCTCTGACAGCTGTCCCCTTCAAGGAAGAACTGAGCAGTAGCCCGGCTGGGCTTAGTGGATGGGATGTGATGGGAGCGCAGCCTGAGCCAGGACTTGACTAAGGAGCTCCAGTAACCGCCGGCACGTGTTCTTTAGTCCCCCAGGTCCTCCAGAGCTGCGCCGAGTACATCGAGCAGCATGGCGTGGTGCAGGGGATATACCGCCTGTCCGGCGTGGCATCCAACGTCCAGAGACTGCGGTAAGAGTGCTGCGACTGACAGACACAGCTGCCAGCAGGGGCACGTGCCCTGTTGCGGGCGTTCAGAGGCCTGTGGGCAATGCCTTAGCACAAGGAAAAGGTCTCCTTTGGGAACATCCCATCCAGCAGGGCTGACGTGGTGCTGGTGGCCGAGTGTTTGTGTTCTCCTGTAGATCAGGAAGCCCTTCTGATTCTTGATTGCATTGGGTGTGGCTTTTGACTTGCTTTCCTCTTTCTCAACCACTTTCGTGTCCTTCTCTGCAGCCAGGAATTTGAGTCTGAGCAGGTTCCTGAGCTAACCGTCCGCGACGTTCACAGCGCGAGCTCCCTCTGCAAAATGTACTTCAGGGAGCTCCCGACCCCCCTGCTGACCGACCAGCTGTACGGCAAGTTCTCGGTAAGCACGAGGCAACGCCTTTCCTTTCCCTCTTCGCTGGGCCTCTTGGGAGATGGCTGCAGCAGTGCCCCAGCTCTGAGGCCCTTCTTCTGTTAGCCCCATGGGGTTTACTCGCGTGTCTTTGCCACATCCTGCATCGTGCTGATGCCACTTCTGGTGGTCCCAGGAGGTGGTTATTTCCATATTCACAATGCTTGCGAGAATTCATGTGTTGTTTGTTTGTTTGTTTGTTGCTATTCCCCAGCTATTTCTGGAACGGGAAGAGGATTAATAGCCAAGCATACTTGGAGATGAATGCCCCTTGCGAGGAGCTGAGCTGCCCAACCAGGCTGTAAACCGGCCCGGTGCTTGGACCCCTTGGCTTTGGTGGCACCAGCTGTGTGCCGCTATGTTTGCCAGATGCCTCTGGGGAGGCCTAAAATCTTTCTCAGTGCTGACCAGCAGCGCGCTGTGCCCATGGTTCCCGACCCTGCGGCAGGTATGTCGCCTGATTTGTGTCTCAATCCCTTTCTGCCCTTTTCCAGGATGCTGTTGGTGCCACTACGGAGGAGGAGCGGCTGGTCAGAATGCGGGACGCCATCCAGCAGCTGCCCGCTCCTCACTACAGGTCAGTGCTGCCCTCAGCCTGCTGAGCACAGCCCTGCTGCACTTCAGAGGGCAATGGTGCGATTCCAGGCTTTGTCTCACGCGAGCAACGGGATGCCTGGGTATGCTGAAACCCTGCATGGGGTTAATTTGTGGGGTCAGTTCCTGGGCACGGGGGCATGCTTGGTGCAGCTGATGGCTGTGGCTGTGCTGTGCTGGGTCCTGCAGTGTGGCACTTGGTCAAGTTGGGTCTACTTCATCTTCAGCATCAGTAGCAGTAATAACAACTAGTGTGAATTGAGGTTTGCTTTGTGAGTCCCAGCACGGTGTGCTGGCTGTTGCTGAACATTTGCCGCTCTTGTTTCCCAGGACCCTGGCGTATCTGATGAGACACTTGGCCTGCCTGTCTGCAAACAGCTCTGTCACCAACATGCACGCTAAGAACTTAGCCATTGTGTGGGCTCCAAACCTCCTAAGGTAAACTTCTTTTTCCGTTTCAACAGAACGCTTACATCTGTTCTCCAGTAGAACAAAGCAATCCTCCCTTCTTCTGCCCCACATGTGCTCTTCTCCTGTAAAATGTGCAGTGAGTGGCTGACAGCAGAGCAGGAGCCTGGACTGTTCTCCAACCCCACGTGGGCACAATTTCTAGCTGAGCATTGCTGCTCTCTTGTTTAGATGGGACTGGTGTGTCCTTGATCAGCCAGGAGAACTTCTTCAGTGGCATCACTGATTGCCCACTGCGGAAGTCTCCAGAGAACAAATGTGACAGCTTTGGGCTGCAGTAATTCAGACCTGGGGAAGCGATCTTGGCTGAATGACTTCTAAAACCTGCCTTTTCTACAGATCACAGCAGAGCGAGTCTGCCTGCGCCAGCGGGAGAGCTGCCTGCATGGAACTGCAGACGCAGTCGGCTGTAGTGGAATTCATCATCAACCACACAGACGTCCTCTTCTGCTCCACATCCGGATCGGACATTGCAGATGGAGCAGGTGAGTGTCTTCCTCCATTAGCTTTGTCTTGATCAGACACCTGGATCAAATGCAGGCCTTCTCCAAGTCCTTTGAAATACACTTTTCCTGTCGAGGGAACAGCAGACTTCTGGGCTTAGATTGGAATCTGGCGTCCAGTTGCTGGATGCTGAGAATGTGCAAGCCCAAACTTGACAAGGAGAAAAAACCATCACTGTCATTATGATGTTTTGCAAGCAGGTGAAGCTTGATTAACGTGTGGCAGCGGAGCTTTCTCAGTTCCCTGCCCCCCTTTTCTAGGGTTTTTGTTTGCCTGTTTCGATACAGGGAGCTGCTCTTAATTATGACTGCGTCCTTTGCCATAGACACACCTCTGAGCACATGGTTGTTTTGAGCTGCTCTTCTTCCAGTGGCTCGGTTAAGCAAATCTGAGGAAAACACAGCAGCTCCCCCGGACCTGCGATGGCTGTGCTGCCGCTTTCTGATCCTGGCTCTCCCCTGTGGTTTTCCCTTCCAGGGCACAGTTCTCTCTCAGGGCCCCAGGCTGTGCAGACCTCTTCTCCTGCCACAGAGCTGCTCAGCCTGGAGGAGGCGCAGGCACGGAGGCGAGGCCACAGCGGCTCTCCTGTCGTTGTGACACAGAGCAGGGACATGGAAGTGGAAGAAGGCCCCACAGCTGTACGGGGGAAATTCCACACAGTCATCGACTTTCCACCTGAAAGGTAAAGAGGACTTTGTTTTCCAGCCGCTATCATCACTGTTTGGGTGGGTTGTGTTTGTTTTGTCCCCATTATTTCTAGTGCCTAAACTTGTGGAAATTAGATTTAATGAATGGTGCCTGAAGTGTTGCAGTGAATCTCCCCTCCCTTTGGACTGTGAGATTCAACTAACATTGAGTTGCCCGCCGGGCTCAGTTTAGCCTCACAACGGTGCCGTTCCTTCCTTGCTGGGCAGGCAGTGACGAGATGCACAAAGCCACGCTGACGTCTACCTTGGCCTGTGCTGGCTGTACCTGGAAAGGTTGGGGTTTTCCAGATTTCAGAGCCTCGTGCCTGAATCCAGTTCTGGTTCTCCTCTACACAGAGCTGTTGGTCAGACCTGCTGACACTAGAAACTAGACATGGCAGTGAGATGGGCCGATGAGCTGTCAATGTCAGAGTCAGAGATGCTTTTGAAGTTCCTTTATGGCTGTGCAATTCCTCAGCCAGCAGTTATGCCTGCCTACTCAATCAAAGTCACCCTTTGATGCTGTCCTGTACAGGTGTGGAGCCTGTGGACCTCACATGCTCTACATCTTGCTTGACACAGTTGAGGGGAATTTAGCCAGCAAGACTTCAGGGCTGAGATATAGGAATGGAACCATCCTCAACTGCTTGAAATGGAGCGAGTTTCTAAGCTGTGTTTCAGCAGGAACCAGGCGGTGCTAGGAACAAGCAACTGTTGGCACGAGCTCAGTGCAGCTCTTCCCTCACCCTGCGCCACGCACGACTCCCACCATTCCCTGTTTTCTCTCTCCAGACCAAGTCCACCCAGCAAGATAAAGGAATCACCAGCTGGCTGTTGGTGTTCCTGCTTCAGCCTGGGGAAACCATCGTCTGGGGCCGAACGCCAGCCTCAGCACCGTCCCAGGGAGCCCTCAGAAATAGAAATCGTAGTGCTGGCAGGTAAGAGTGCAAATCCAGCTTTCAACGCCTTGCTTTTCAGCAACATAGAATTCTTGCTGTCAGTGGGCTTGTATCTACTTCCAGCGTTCCAACCCATACCTAACACCTTTAGTTCTCCCCTGATCAAGAACCCCTTTTGTAATTCAGCTTGTGAAAGTTTGGCACTAACCCCTGTGTATCCTTCCTAGATGAACTGAGCCCTTGTCCACCCAGAAGAGCCGGAGCAAGTAGCGAAGCTGGGCTGTGTGCTTCCACCAATGGAGAGCTCTTGGGAAGCACAAATGGCTGCGGATCACGTGACAGCCTTGCACGTAACAACAGTGATGGAGAGAGGGAGCTCATCCAAGTTGAAGCCCTCATTTCTCCCGGCTGTGCTGAAGATGCTGACTTGAGCCCACCAGGCACCGCAGTCACCAGCCTGGACTGTGACCCGGCACCTTTGCAGTGCAGCCCA